GCTTATGCGTCGGAGTTCCGCACCATCTCCGCCAAGCTGCGGTGGGATGACTCTGCCCTTCGAGCCGTCTTCTTGGAGGGACTGGCAACCTACATCCGGGATGAGATGGCGGGAAAGGAGCTGCCCCAGAACCTGGATGAAGTGGTGGATCTGGCGTTGCGCATGGATCAGCGGGTTCTGGTTCGGCCCAAGCCCTTCACTCGCCCATCCAGTGAGCCTGGACCTCTTCCTCGTTCCCCCACGCCTGCTCCCGGACCCGCTTCTACTGATGAGCCCATGCAATTAGGCCACCTTCCTCCAGAGGAGAGACAGCGACGGTGGCGCGAGGGTCTCTGTGCCTATTGTGGCTCCTCCCACCACAGACGCCTGAACTGTCCATTACGTTTGGGAAACGAAGGAACCCACTGAGTATCGGGGTCGCTCAGCCTGGGTCACCTTCAGCCCCCACCTCTTCAAATCGACTCCTTCTTTATGTTACCCTCCTTCATGGTGAGGCCTCACTCCAGATGCACGCGCTGGTGGACTCGGGGGCCGCTGACAATTTCATGGACATGGATCTGGCTAAGCGCCTACGGATCCCCATGACCCCCTTGGAGAGATTTGTGCCAGTGACCTCGGTGGACGGTAGGCCCCTCCAACCCTATCCGGTCCAAAACCGAACCCAGCCACTCCAGATGATTGTCCAAGGCCACAGAGAGACCATCAAGTTCCTGATCATATGTGCTCCCTCCTCTCCTCTAATCCTGGGATTTCCTTGGCTCCGTCTCCATGACCCCGGGATTTCCTGGTCCCAGGGCTGCCTTTTGGAATGGGGGGCCCAGTGCCAGGCCCACCTCTCTCCTCCTCCATCCATGCCAGACTGCCCGGCCGGTGACCCTGGTCCTACACCGCCCAATCTGCCACTGCCCTACCGGGACCTGGCTGCGGTGTTCGACAAGCGGCGAGCCACCACACTGCCGCCTCACCGCCCGTACGACATGGAAATTAAGCTGCAACCAGGAACCAGTCCACCCCGGGGGCGCCTTTTTTCTCTCTCTCCCGCCGAGTCCAGAGCCATGGAGGAATATACTGACCAGGCCCTCCGGCAGGGTTTCATCCGACCCTCGTCGTCCCCAGGTGCCGCAGGCTTCTTCTTTGTGAGGAAAAAGGAGGGTGATCTCCGCCCCTGTATAGATTACAGAGGACTGAAGAAGATCACAGTCAGAGATCGTCATCCTCTGCCGCTCCTCACGTCCGCCCTGGATGCCATCTCCCAGGCGTGGATTTTCACCAAGCTGGACCTCCGGAGTGCCTACAACCTGGTCCGTATCAAAGCTGGAGATGAGTGGAAGACGGCGTTCATCACCCCCACCGGTCACTGGGAGTACCAGGTCATGCCCTTTGGACTGTGCAATAGCCCCGCCGTTTTCCAAAGCTTCATCAATGATGTCCTCCGTGACATGTTGGGACGGTGGGTGTTTGCCTACCTGGATGACATTCTGATCTACTCCAAGTCAGAGGCCGAACACTACCACCATGTTCGCGCGGTCCTGACCCGGCTCCTGGACAACAACCTGTTCTGTAAGCCCGAGAAGTGCTCCTTCCACCAGCGGTCCGTTTCATTCCTGGGCTACCTGATTTCGGATCAAGGTCTAACTATGGACCCTCAGAAAGTCCAGGCGGTGAAGGACTGGCCCCTACCAACCAGCCTGAAGCAACTGCAGAGTTTTCTGGGTTTCTGCAACTTTTACCGTCGATTTATCAAAGACTTTAGCACCATTGTGGCGCCTCTCACCTCTCTCACCCGACCGAGCCCTCCTGGTCAACCGTTCCGGCTCACCCCAGATGCCGTTCGGGCCTTCCACTACCTAGTCGGTCGTTTCACATCGGCTCCTATCCTGCGCCATCCGGATCAGGCAGTCCCTTTTGTGGCCGAGGTCGATGCTTCGGATGTTGGCGCCGGCGCCATCCTGTCCCAAGGCGGCCCAGATGACAGGCTACACCCCTGCGCCTACTTCTCCAGGAAGTTTTCCACCACCCAGCAGAAGTACGGCGTAGGGGATCGCGAGCTGCTGGCCATAAAATGGGCGTTGGAGGAATGGAGGCAGTGGCTTCTGGGCACCCCTCAGCCGTTCACCATCTGGACTGACCACCAGAACCTAACTCACATCCGGTCCGCCAAGCAGCTAAATCCTCGCCAGGCTCGCTGGGCCCTCTTCTTCGAACCCTACGAGTTCCATCTCGCCTATCGCCCCGGGACTAAAAACCAGAAGGCGGACGTCCTCTCCCGCCAGTTCACACATTCAGCGCCCACGTCCGAGCCGGCGCCCATCCTCCCGGAGCACCGTTTCGTGGCCCACCGTGGGTGGCCGTTGGAGGAGGCCATCCAAAACGCCCTCCGGGATGACCCAGCGCCGCCAGAGACCCCCGCCAGTCGGCTCTATGTCCCCGCGGCCTGTCGCAGTGAGGCGTTGGCCTGGGCCCACTCATCACGCCTGTCTGGTCACGCGGGCTTCTCTCGGACTCTCAAGTTCTTGAAACGGGCTCTCTGGTGGCCACATATGGAGAGGGACGTTAAGGAATTCACGAGTGCCTGTGACGTCTGTGCCCGCTCTAAGGCATCCACCCAGGCTCCGGTTGGCACCCTCAGACCTCTTCCGGTGCCCAGCCGCCCCTGGTCCCATGTGGGGCTGGACTTTGTCACAGGTCTCCCGCCGGTCAACGACCTCGACACCATCCTAACTGTCACTGACCGGTTTTCCAAAGCTGTTCACTTCATCGCCCTCCCGGGCCTTCCCTCGGCCCGACGCACTGCAGAACTGTTTCTGGAGAATGTGGTGCGTCTCCACGGGTTCCCGGTCGACGTGGTCTCAGATCGTGGTCCCCAGTTCACGGCTCGTTTCTGGAAAGCCTCCTGCCATCTAGTGGGAGCTTCTGTCAGCCTGTCTTCGGGCTACCACCCACAGACCAACGGTCAATCGGAGCGGGCGAACCAACAGTTTGGCCGGTACCTCCGCTGCTTTGTCTCGGCCCAGCCCTCGCAGTGGCCTAAGTACCTCCTCTGGGCGGAGCTGTCCCATAATCTTCACACCTCCTCGGCCACTCAGATGTCCCCTTTCGAGGTCTGCTATGGCTACCAGCCCCCAGTCTTCGCCCACCAGGAACCCGAAGTCGCGGTGCCAGCCGCTCAATCCCTGGTGAGGCGTTGCAAGAACGCATGGATCAAGGCACGGGCCTCCATTACCCGGGCCAACGCCCGTTACTCACACCAACACCTCCGCAGGCACCGCCCGGGTCCCTCCTATGCTCCAGGGGACAAGGTCTGGGTGTCCACGGCAGGCCTCCGGGTCCGCGCCGGTTCCAGGAAGCTCGCTCCCCGGTTCCTCGGGCCCTACCCCGTGCAGGAGGTCATCAACCCGGTCACGTACCGGCTGCGGCTGCCTACAAGCCTTCGCGTCCATCCTACCTTCCACACCTCCCGGCTCAAGCCTTAAGTGGCATCCCCCCTCCTGCCACCTCAGGCTCCAGCACCTCCGCCGGCCCGCTTCCTCGACGGTGAGCCCATCTACACAGTCCGGCGCATTCTGGACGCTCGCCGCCGGGGTCGGGGCTGGCAGTACCTTGTAGATTGGGCGGACTACGGCCCGAGGAACGCTCCTGGGAGCCGGCCCGCTCCATCTTGGACCCTGCCCTCATCTCGGACTTCTGGGCCCACCGAGGTGGCCCGGGGACTTCTGGAGCCGTCCCTGGACCGGGGGGTCCTGTCAGAGTCCAAGCCCCCAGGCCGGGCTCTCCCAGCTGACCGGCTTCCGTCTTGGACCACATTACCCAGCATGCCCCTCGCGGGGATTCCCTCCACGTTGCACCTGCGTCATCCATGTCTATATATGGAAGACGCTACACCGGCTCTTCACTCAGTCATCGTTCCACCGTGATCCATGATCAGAGTATTTCCAAAGCTACTACAGCTAAACCTCCACCTTTCCTCCTCAGACCTCATCCGTCAGCCGTTCCAGCACCGCTTTCAGCCCACCATCTGTATAATAAACGCTCTTACTCCCGAACCCAGTCTTCGAGTCTGACAAGGGCACCCTAACCCAAAAATCCAAACTGTTTATCTACAACTACAGTAGTTCCAAAACAGCACAATACCTCAAAACAACTTTAGCTGAAGACAGCATTTTCACCCAAAAATAAACAAACAGTTTGTGCAATATATTTATTTTTATTTATGTACAAAAAAGTTCTGTTATTTGCATTTGTACATAATATTTTTACTTAATTTCTAATAAATCTGTGTGCATGAAAGAAGTCATTCCTGTCTTTTGATGCTTCACGTAGCTGGGGCCTTTATGGAGAGAGGAGAACAGCAGCATTAGATCATACATAGATTACATGAGAATGCAATTCTGGAAACTCTCCAGTTCTGAAGTTGACCTGTAAAAAAAACAAAAGCTACAACTTTATAGATTATTAGGAATCACACTTTTGATTGCCTTTTCACCCACAATTGTCATTTCTATATGTAAATTTTCAGCTTTGATATTGACACTTTAGCTTTTTTGCTTATGAAAATGTTATTAATGTACCATGAGCTCATTATCACTGGTCGTTGCATCAAGTGGTCCATGGTCACATTTGCCACGGGTCCATTCATGCTTCCCTGTGACATGGTGAAGCACACCCACCCACATGTCCTAACAGAAAAAATAAGTTTTATTTGAAAACTTTACATGTGACAGAAGCGCTCACCAACAGAAACACGAGAGCTGGCACTATTATGAAAAGAAAGGTAATTATGTCAATGTGCATTGTTGTCTTGTTGTCCAAAAGATGTCACAATACTTACATTAAACATATCACGATGTTGTGCTTTCTGGCAAATGTACCAAAATTGGTTGACGATGTCCTTCAGCCATCCCAGCCTGTGAACAAGGATAAAACAACAATTCCATCTTTTAGTTCTTTTTAAAACATAGAAGGGTTTTATTTACCTGCAACGTTTTGTTTGCAGCTGCAAACTTCGTCAGCCTGACAAAGTTTTCATAACAGTTCTATTCTGTTATGAAAACAATAAATAAAAGTAGAATTGATATATTGTTTTAAGACTTTGGAGTTTAAAAAAGAGTGTAGATAAGAAGACATTGCAACTCACACACTGTTGAGTAAGTTGTTTGCTTGGTCCTCATCAATTTGGACTGCATCCGTAGCTGGATCCATGGATTTGAAACTACAGACAACACAATAATATTTGTTGTACGTAAAGATAAATACTGGAACTTACCTGAAATGGTACTGATTCTAAAGAGATAAATGTGGAGCCTAATACATCTGTCATTAATTATTTCTGCAAATAACAACAATCTGCAGTGAATTGACACTTCACAACATAAATAAATATATATAATGACCCATATTTGCTTATCTATTGTGTTTTTATCTTTTTTGCACATAGTAAAGCAGTAATTTCCTGCATATATGGCAAGACTTCTCATGAACAAATTTACCTTTCTTCAAAAGGATCCAAATCTAGGTCATCAGCTAAGGCCTCAACACCAGCCATTAGAAAATCTTCCCTGTAAAGATAATGTCAGAAGTGTTTGGTGGTGTGATGTTAGTTCTGAACCAAGTGTGGATATGCAAGGTGTAATTTAATGTATGAAATATCATAGCACAAAAACGTGAATATTTGTTTTGCAGAAAAGATACTAACCCCTCAGACACAGGTTCAGTTGGAGATAATCGATGCGACATTTTAGCTGCTGTTCTCTTACTGGGTGTCGAGGTTGACTGCACATTACCTCCCTGAATTGCAGTTTCAGAAGCCTGCTTCTTCCGGTAGCTGGAAAACACATTTTTAAACAAAAATGTCAACAAGTTGGTTGAGACTCTACACCTTCTGTTTACATAGATCAATAACGGCTAAGCTTCTTTACCTGTGGCACAACTAGTAATATGAAAATGCATTTCAGTCATAAAAAAATGTATTTATCATTTTCACAAACATATTTTATTCTGACCTACATTCAACTGGACAAATTTAGAAAAATAAACACAAACTTCTGCACAACTTTACTTTTAGTAAAACATGTAGTAATGGCTGACTAGTTATTTACTCTTTTGTAGCACAGCACTAACGTTAGGAAAAGATATTCTGGGGTTCTGTTACACAAACCCCACGAATAACATTATCTACTAAAGTAACAGTCCTGCTTAGAGGCTGGACTGTAGATCAAATATGACATAATTCTAAAGACTCATCTTTGGTTTGGAAAATGTCTGTTCTCTTCTACAAACTGAAGCGTGATCGCAGCTAACATGCTAACGCACGCTAGCTCTCTCCGGCTGATCGGTGACGTCATACAATAAAATCAAGCTCTGTTTACTTTTCTCGTCAGAATAAACGGAGCATCCATTTATCTCCAAACACATGCGGCGTGTCGTCCACATAACGTAGAAGTGATCGATTACTCCTTAGTTGCTTTTGGCTTTTTCAAACTGATCAGGAAGCCATATGCTAAACACCGTTAGCTTAGATAAGTTTCTTGTTCATCTGCACAAAGATTTGTTAGATTACCTAAATCAGTATTATCTAAATCCATAGGTTTTATTTTATTTTCTTAAATTGTGGCGATACAGCTCTGATATGTTTACCTACTCGTTACTGAAACCTACAGCAGACATAAGGAGACCAGCTAATACAACACTTACCTGGTCACTAGAAAATGAGCCATGTCTGCATCCTTTTCAGGCCCAAATTGAGTTGAACCAGCCTCATTCTTCCAGAGCGTACCCAATACATATTCGGGTCCCTGACCGACTTTTATATTTTCTTTTTGACTCTCGAGATGCCGCTGATAAAACCTTCTTCTTTGTGCCACTTTAGTGGGCTTTGAGTTGTGCTTGGTCGTTTGCTACTTGTAGAATCCTTTTCCAGGGTTCTTCCTCTTCTGTTTGGGGTTTTAACGTGGCTAGTAGTGAAAGACGCATTACCGCCACCTAGCAAGCTTCCAAATGTTTTTCCGGGTTTGAACCTTGTCGAGAACGCGCTTGAAGCGTCAATTAACGTCACATCCGTAAAACAGCGCGGGAAATTCGGATCAGGAATGTTTTGCATTTTGCAGCACACAGCATGATTAACAAAATGGAATGATAAACTGGTTTCATCATTCTTTTTAGTTTAAAATGCTTCATCACCCATAAGCTTCACAAGAATGAACATGTATCCTATTTACTTCTTGTTTTTGGACAATTCCTGCCCCATGCTCCTTTAAAGTTAGATGTTGTTTAGTTTTCACCTACCGGTGACTCCGCCATATTGATTCACGTGAACAACGACCATTGTACTGCTTCACCGTGGCAGAGCACGTTCACAAATCCGGAGGGGCGCGGCCTAATGATTGTACCCGATGGGAGTGGTGAGAGTTCTGGGACGGTGTTGGTGTAAGCTAGCTAGCTGGCCTAGTTTGTTTGGAAAATGCGTTACAGCACCTTTAATGTAGAGAAGACTAAATGTATGGTTATTCAGTTCAATTCTATTTTATTTATATAGCGCCAAATCACGACAAGAGTCGTCTCAAGGCACTTCACATAATAAACATTCCAATTCAGGTCAGTTCATTAAGCCAATCAGAAAAAAATGTTTCCTATATAAAGAACCAAGCAAATTGCATCAGTCAGTGACTTTACAGCAATCCTCATACTAAGCAAGCATATAGCGACAGTGGAGAGGAAAACTCCCTTTTAACAGGAAGAAACCTCCAGAGGATCCTGGCTCAGTATGGTATCATCTCATTTGTTGACAGAGCCTGTTATATTGAATTAGGAATATTATAAATACACAAACACCAAAAACCTTTTTTTGTCAGCTGACATTCTTTAGAGATGTTCACCAACAAGGTACTCGTCAAACTGATGGTTGCTTTTTGTTGCCAACAAGTCAAACTAATTCTATTCAAAGGTCAGTATTTTATAGAGCAAAGGTGGAATGGAATGGTTTACCGCAAATCTTGAGGGGTCAGCGACAAAGGGGTGAATTTTAGAAAAGGTTAAGATAATTTATTTATACCCATTTGACATAAGTTGGAAGAAGAAATGAGTTTTGTTTATTTCAATTTTTTATTTTATGGTTTAATTGTTTATTTGTCTCATTGGTTGTGTGTTGAGAAATGTGTTTTGTGTTGCTGTCAAAGGTATTTTATTTTGGTGTAGTATTAGGTGGTATGTGGCGTATTTTTATAGTGGAGATGAATATAGTTTGTTTGCTTGTTGGCCCAATGCTGATGCATTACTTTTGTTTATTTGATGATGATATGACTCCAGGAAGAATAGAAACAGTTTGAATAGTGGCTAATGGGGATCTTAATAAAAAACAAACACTTGACTTGGTAAAGAGATTTGACTAAAGGTGGCTGTGCCTTTGCTTTGGCTTGGTTTGACTGGACTTGGCTGGATGTGAACTGGAACTGGAGCATGTTTATGAGCAGCCTCAAGACCGTCCATGATCTGGCCTCAGATCTTCTTCTGTAGAGTATAACAATAGCGTGCAGCTAGCAGTGTTGCTCTGCTGTCAAGTCCTGGGCTATACTGTCCCAACAGTGCCACCACCTTAAAGTGACAATATGTAGTTTTTACAGTTAATTTCTGGAAATAGCCTTCAAAATTGTTGTTGCAAATGAATTAAAAGATGCCCAGTTGTTGAAAAATATTGGCAGTTTCATAACATATAATCGTAAAAATCTGTATTAAAATTCATGGGAGCAGGTCTAAGTCTCTGGGCGACGCCATATTGGACGCCATGTTTCCTTCTATAGAAGTCTGTGAGGACATAATGCATTTACTGACTTGTAACAAATAGTTACAAAACTTTCATCATTAATAAACATTGCTGCTTTACACATTCACCTCTTCACTCATCGCCAGTGATGAAAGGGAATCTGATGATTTTGCTGGAGGTTGCACACCCAGGGATTTTTGACACTAATGGCCATCCGTCTGTAAGATCTTATTTGAACACAAAAATAATGTTTGCTTGCAACTATTTAGGTCTGAACTGCCGCCTATCGCCCGGGAAAATACACACTGTCACTTTAAATCCTCCTAATGTGTCATGTACCCGGGCAGAGTTGAGTCACACCATCTCCACTCTAACCATCATTGAGCTGATTTCCCACAGGTGAGGAGCAGAGGGGGCGGCAGCTGCAGGAGATCCCAATCAGGAACACGGGTTTAAAAGGAGGATGGAGACGCCTCACTACGCCGGATGATTGCACCAGTTTAGGTAGCCCCTGCCACTTGTTCTTGCTCTCGTTTGTTCGTTTTGACTCGCTCTTGGATACTTGGATTTTTGACCTCGGACTGTATTTGTGGATTACGCTTTGGATTACCCCTTACATCTGGTGTTTGTTTCCCTTCCCTTCAGGATCCTCTCTCCACCTGCTTCCCGTTCGCAGTTTTTGTACACTGGACTCATACACCACGCTCTATCCTCCTCCGTTGTTCCTGTTGGCCCCCCTCTGCGACCTCACCACCCCGGATCGCTCACCCTCTGCCCAACGCTCACCTCGGCTTCCCCGCCTCCCTCATTCATCCCGAGCGCAGTTTGGACTCTAGCTGTACCGCTCACTCCCACAGGACTTCCCTGTGCTATTTTTGTTCCCGTTTAATAAAGAACTTTACTGTTATTCAATCTGCCTGACGAGTAATGATTCTGCATGTCTTGGGTTTGGCACTTACCTCGAGTCATGACATAATGAGCCCAGTACAAACATGAATCAATGAGCTGGCCTCAGAGCTGTGGTTGCAGGGAGATTAGGCATCCTAGAATTAAAACCTGCATGTACCTCGTTGTTGAATTTAGGCCGCTTGGAGTGTCTAGTGTACCATATCAAAAGGTCTGTGCCATCTCCAACCTGCTTTGCTTTGTACATTAGTAATGTATTTGTGGCCATGTTTGTTCTGAGAAAAGCTTGTATGAAACGTCATTGATATAGACACACACCCTTAAATGTGCATGCCCCAGCCCACTTCACTGGTGGCAATACAGAAATGTTGGTCACAGTAATGATAACTGCAGAACAACATAGTCCAAACTAAACAAACAAAGAAGAATCTCGGAGAACCAATGACATTCCAGGAGATTCTGGTGATATTCAGACACTGAGACTTTTGATAGCACATACCACTTGAGTTAGGAACTATTCATGGTTTTATAATAGTAACCGCAAGCTGGTGCTATAAGCTACAGTGTCATGGTCTGTGTCTGCATCTCCCCTCATGTGTCTCCTTGTGTCCTCCATTCATTCTCTAGGTGCTCCTTTTGTGTCCTAGCGCCCTCATGTGTCATGTCTGCATCGTCCTCGTGTGTCTTCGGGTTTTCCCCATTTGCCCCTAGATTTCCAGCCCTCTAGGTTTCTAAAGTCATTTCCTTTAGTTACAGCCTTTCATGATTTAGTATGTTTTTTCCCATCAGTGTTTATTATTTTTCTCCCCCCTCCCTTTGAATTGTAGTTATGTTTCCTGCTGTTTTGTATTAAGTTTCTCCCCTGATTGTTCATTGCCTTCACCTGGTCCTCCTCCCACACCCCACACACCTGCAGCTCATCTCCCTCTCATCCTCCCTGTGTATTTAAGCCCTGTCTTGTCTCAGTGTCTTGTCGGTCCATTGTTTGTGGTTATTCTGTCAGTCTCTCGTTCCTAGCTCTAGTGTTTCTTGGTTCTTCTTGTGGTTTCTAGTGTTTTTGATCTTTAGTTTATATTTTTGGACATTTTCGATTACTGGCGTCAGCCCTTTTGGATTTATTTTTGTTTTGGACTCATCCTGCAAATAAAGGGATTTTCTTATATATCATGCCCCTTGTCATCCTGGGTTCTGCATTTTGGGTCCTACCATCCCGTAACGTGACACACATGAGCCTATTAATTGACAAAATTGTTGTTAATTAGTTGACTAACAGATAATCATTTTGGCAGCTGTAATACAAA